CTAATGAAGATGTTGAACAGCACCGGCCCAAGGACCGAGCCCTGGGGGACTCCACTGCCCACACCCTCCCAGGTCGACATCGACCTGTCCGCCACCACCCTCTGGGTTAGCCCCTGGAGCCAGTTTGCCACCCATGTGACTGTGCATTCGTCAGTGCCGCAGTCCCTCAGCTTGCCCACCAGAATTGGGTGGGACACTGTCGAAGGCCTTCTGGAAGTCCAAGAAGATGACATCGACTTCCCCCTTCACATCTAAGCTCTTTGTTACCTGGTCGTAGAAAGAGACCAGGTTAGTCAGGCAGGATCGGCCTGGCAGAAACCTGTGTTGGTTACCCCTCGACATCACTTCCCCTGCAGAGCTCTCACAAATGTGGCCCTTGGTAATTTTTTCAAAGACCTTCCCCAGGATAGAAGTGAGGCTGACTGGCCTGTAGTTACCAGGCTCTTCCTTCCTCCCCTTCTTGAAAATAGGGACCACATTGGCCCTTTTCCAGTCCTCAGGGACTTGGCCCGAGCACCAGGAGTCCTCGAACAGCCGTGCCAATGGCTCTGCAATGACACCAGCCAATTCCCTCAGTACCCACGGATGAAAGTCATCCAGGCCCGCTGACTTGGACACATCTAAACCCTCCAGGTAATCGTTAACTAGGTCTGAACTAACAGTCGGGGGACTTGCCCTGGGCCTCTCTACACTATCACCCGAGAGCACCCCGTTGTCAGCAGACAGGAACATGGAGGCAAAGAACCTGTTGAAGAGTTCTGCCTTCTCTCGTGCGTCCATCACCAACTGCCCTGCCCTGCCTCGTAGGGGTCCAATGTTACCCCGAGACTTCTTGCTACCTATATACTTGAAGAAGGACTTTGTTATCCTGAATCCCAGAATCTAATCTAAGATCTAGTGCTGCTTTCACCTCCCTCACCAAATCCCTACAAGCTTTAGGGAAAATACAGTAAACAAACTAGCCAATTTTGGATGTATATGGTTAGATAAAAGAACTTGTCCAGGCTTTTTTGGCAAATTAATGCATCAAGGAAGTCTACAGACAGAATGCATTATGGTCCAAATCACGACAAAAGTCACGTGTGTGCATAAGTGTTTAATGAACCAGAGATTTTCAAAACATACGTCCTATAAAAAGAACCTGAAAACAGTTGTGGGTGGTAGTTCTGCAAGTGAATGAATTTAAAACAATGAGAAGTGCACCAACATGATATGGACAGATGCATTAGCACCAATATAAGGAAAATTTACATTATTGGCAATCAGCTTTTCTTTGGCTGAAGAGGCTGATAACGTTGCCAATAAGTGCCATGTGCCTGAGTGCAGCCACAACACGCACACAGCCAGCACGGCAGCTTGGAGACCAATGTCCAGCTGGTAAGTCTGTTAGGAGGGGAAGGGGCAGCAGGAGGAAACAGGCGTGGGCACAGATCAAGGCCCCCTGCAGTGAAGGAGGGAGTGGGGCTGGGGCAGGGTGCTGGACAAAGCTGCGAGCAGTTCATCCGGGAGGGCCGGCAGCTCCCACCGCTGCGTGCACCCCTGAGGGAGGCATGAGGAGCATGTGCCCCCCACCCCGATCTGTGTGTGGGGCAAGGGTGGATTGCCTGCTGTGGGCTGGGGCAGCACTGGGCTTTTCCCCATGTTGCGGGGGCTGGACCAGGGCTGCTGGACTCTAGCCAGGCGATGCTGGGAGAGGGGCTATGGGTCCCCCATAGCCACTCTCCCAGTGCTGCCGCTGCCACCTGCTCCAAGCACAGCCTCAGCCTAGACCCCCCCCCCC